GTGGTAGTAAGTTATTATTACAGCAAAATGTGAAAGGAATAAAAAGTTAATTGTTTATGTTTTTTTTTCTTCTCGCATTTTACCTTTGTATAAAGCTAATTCTTTTTTCTCTTTGAATTTGAATTTATTTTATTAGTCAGCTATCAAAAATAGTTTAATATATTTAAACAAGAATTGAGTTTTTCCTTTTTTAATGGAATATAAGAGAATTTAATATTTTTTGTCGCATATTTTGGTTATTTAAATATCTTTTAAAGTATAAAGTGGATGCTACGATAATAATTTCTTTTTATTTAAAGCCTAGTTTTCAAGATCATTATTATTACATCATTGCTGTGAGATTTAATTAGTTTTATTCAATAATAACAGTTTTTATTATTATTTGCCTTTTAAATGTGATGATGAAGCCGTGTACTTGTTTATGCACACGGCTTTAGCAAAATTTGAAAAAAAAAAGTAATGTGATTTTAGTGATAATATAGTGATAATGTAAAGTAACCAGTTTACACTTTAAAATAAGGAAATTAATTTGCGCTAATGTAATGAAATATTTTTAGTCGCATAAAAAAGACAACTTTAGGATGTCATGAAGAAATTAGTGAGCTGTGTGGGTACATACTGGTAAAATATAAAAGCAATTCTAGTAACTGTAAAGAAAAATTCTGTTTTAGTTTACTGCCATTTCTAGATATTTGAGCAAAAAGTATGAATGCTGGAATTTAAAGAATTGTTCCTCGGGCTATTGCTTTAGAGCCGGGGTTTTGAAACTTTTAAGTGTGAGGACTCCATAATATTTGCGAAAATTTTTGTGGACCCCATATTCATTGTGCAAATCCGACAAACGCGTGAGGGAAATTGCCAGTTTCTTCATTTGAACTGTAATATACTATTGCTGTCTTAGGACAATAAGTTTTAATTTTAAAATATAGAACAATGGAAACTCTTAATTAAATAACAGACTTGAAAATATAATTCAATAATAAAAATGCACCGAAACGTTTTCGTTTTATTTCTGTCTGTATTTGTCTTAGCTTTATCAAGTTTCAGATACATTGCGTAAAATATTTGGTAATTACAAAATTATTATAATATATTAAAGAAATATCAAAAATACTCAAATATTTGGCAACCACAACTACAGGTTCGGCAACCTCAATCGAAGTTGGGTCCACAGTTCTCAAATACAGGTCTCCAACTCTGCTTAAGAGCATAAAAGACAGAGAACTCGCTTTCTTTTTGTTTTCTTTAATATTTATTTAAAAGTGCTATGGATAAAACAGAAAAAGAATTGAAAAATAATACAAACTTCGTTTTGTCTTCCATACTTAATGATCAATGTCAATAAGTGAGTTATATATGAATGAATCAGATTTGTGTAGTGTAAGTAACTAACTGGATTTTAAGAATTCAGACTTTTATTAATAGACACACAGCAATTGGTGATACTTTAAATTTATTTTCAGCATAACAGATCCGTTCTGGAAAAAAATTGGAATCTTTTTTCTCCTGTTCTTAATAATATTGATTACAATAGTACTTTGAAAAAATATTTTTAAAATCAGGCCATTCAGCTAAGCTAACCTTGTAAGATGACGAAAATTTCGAAAAAGTCAAAGCAGTTCCTATCAACGATGCAATAAAATCATTTTGATGAAGATGCTCTTAGAAAATTAATCCTGAACTTAAACTTAGGGTGGATATCACGGGAATACTTAAGTTAATTCCAGAGCATAGCTAAAATGCCTGAAATTTTATCGTCACCAGAATGTTTACTCAATAAAAATATCTCCTCAACTTTTAAATAGCACTGACGGAAAAGATTAAGCTAACTTATCTGCAATTGCAATCGACGATGATTTTAATTTAATGTGATGGAGCTATGGGGTACACTTTGGTAGTGTTGCCCCATTAAATCTACCAATCGAAATAGTTCACATTCACTTCCGCAAGTTAAAGGTTTTCCAACGGATTTGAACTCGATCGATGGCGCAAATTTTGCCTCTCTGGAATTTCCTCCGAGTGCTGGAGTTGGGATCGATTTCTGTGACAACAAGCGCTCGTGCTTTTGTTAAGAGGTAAAAAGGCATGCTTAATCACCTTGTCTGCTTTATAGTGACCAAGTGAGGTGTTTAATTCTTTTTTAGAAATAAAAACACCATAAAATCGAGTTTCATTGTATTTCCCTGCTTCGATAATTGCTGAATGAAACTTTATTAATTTTCATTGTAACCGTTGCTTTTATATTTTAAGCATTTTCGGCAGTTTTAATTGTGCTGTTTGTTTGTTATGTTTTGAAAGCTAATACTCAATTCAGATTAGTAAAGACATTGATGTCATTGACTTTCGGCGTGTGTGCTTCAGTGAAAATGCACTGAAAAATTAAAAAATTAAAATGAAAATACAGTTAAACCCCGCTAAAGTGAACCATCAAGGGACCGAAATTTCTGTTCACTGTAACCGGGAGTTCACTATATCCGTTCCACAAACAATTTTAACTAAAGGTTCCGATCTCCTTTCTTTTACTATGCATTATTTAAATAAATGACCAATAAAATGAAATGCAAAAAGGACTGAAAAATAATGCGAAGTAACAAAAAATGTGTTAACTTATTATGATTTTTTATTACCCTTCGTCTTGTGTACAAAAAAAAAATTAGTAATCTTTAGCTGATGCAGGGAAAAATTTGTATATACAATTTTGTCAAATGTGTTCAAATTTGTATTTGTATATGGGTTGGCCTTTGTTTAGGGATGGAAAAGTGAGATAAAAGGAGCAAACCAAAAAAAAATGCTTATCGCGACATTCCACTCTATAGATGGTTTTAAAAATCAGCATAAGTATTTATTTTGAAGTTGACTTTCAAAATTATTCAAAAAAATAAGAAAAAAAATCAGTCGAAGACAAAAAAAAGTTCATAATATCCAACTTTTTTAGTTCACTATATCCACAAAAAATAACATTACAACAAGGCACGGGACCGAACATTTCGTTCACTATATTCGGGAGTTCACTATAAACCGTGTTCACTATAGCGGGGTTTGACTGTAATAATGCCGTTTTGAGCGAATTGTCAATTGCTACAGAATACAACAGCGCCAGAATGCAGCACTGCTTGATGATTGTACCATGTACAATATTGCGATAAGACAGCATTGGCTTGGCATAGGAGGAACCCAATTGTTTGAGTTGAGATGTTATTGTGAACTTAATAAAACCTAAGTATCATTCAAGAGTAACTGATATCTACCCAAAATGCCAGATTACGCTTGACTTTTCCAGTTCTAATATAGTTGACTTAGGAAAAAAACTAGAATGCCAAAAGCCACATTAAGTACTGAAAATTTAATAATTATTTTGAACTAAACGCATTAGGCTATTCAATTTCATTTTATATAAAAAGTAACTGCCAGAACCTTTAAAAATGTTTATTGTAATGAAACCTGAGTTTGCACTTTTTTTTAACTGTTATATTATTTTTTTAAAAGTTCTCCACTACTTTATTTACTATACTACTCTATTTACTTTATCTATAGCTTATGGGAATTTGGTATGTGTTACTTGCGTATGTGTTACACCCACAATCAGCTGTTATATATATATATATATATATATATTGTTAACTTTTGANCTTTATGTGATTGGTTCTTGGTTTATTTACATATATATTCATTATATATATATATATGCATATATATGTATATATATATGGGGAAAACCATACAAAATTTTCACCCATGATACAAAAATGATATAATTCATTTTTTTAATTCTTCTTTATTGAAAATAAATCGAAAATAAATTTTATATTTTAATGTTGATTTTCTTAAAATTTGAGACAAATCACTTCAGGAAAGTGTATTTAAATATTTTTGCTGTTGGATGGCAATACGTTAAAAAATTACTTGCAAAGTCGTGTGCGTGAAAAAGCGAAATTTTCAAAAATTCGTATATTCAAAAATATGCAATTTAAGCAAAAACGCAAAAATACGTGTCGATTTATTTTCAATAAAGAACAATAAAAAAAATGAATTATATCATTTTTGTATCATGGGTGTAAATTTTGTATGGATTGCCCCATATGTATATTTATATATATAAATAAAAAAACTGTTTTTAGTATGTTGAAAGTGACAAGGATAAATTTTTTCATTTCAGATAGTGGCACTCTTCCTAAAAAGATTTTCCAATCATGATTTATTACAAATCATTTTTCATGAAAAAGAATTGTCTAACAGGGATACGATTTCTGATAATAAAGTAACTAAAAATGCGTTTTAAGCCTAAACTTAGGATACCACTGCTTAGTAAACGACTTAGTTGATATTTAGTAAGTTTTGAATGCTGTGTTTATATTGTAATAAAATCAGAGAGATACTTCAATCTCCACTGCTGAAATAATTTTACGAACAATAAATATGTAGTATTTATTGTTCGATTATTATGGTAGTATTGAGTTACGAACAATAAATATGTAGTATTAAGGAAAAAAAACTATTCATAGTTATAAAATTTTTTTCTTCCTTACAAAACGTAACTTGATTAAAAACATAGAATTAATTTTTCGTTAAAGGACAACAGTGTAAAAGTTACTGCAGTTCACAATCGTAAAATAAATTGGGGAGCCATAAGTGTCTAAACAGTGTCAATTTCAAGTTTTTATATAAACCCACGGTCATACCGCTACTAAGGTAACAAGCACAAAATATGTTAGAAATTATGTGTGACGCAAAAACACAAAAGAACAACGCTAGTCCTTGATTATATTAATTTGAAGAAGATTGAAGTCCCAAACGGCACCATCTAAAGCCAGATTAAAAAAAATTTATAGGTTAAATATTTGCACTTTTTTTAAACGTCTGATCTATATTTAATGCTTTTTAAAAAACTTCAATAATTTATTTTGCAATGCGACATTTGTTACTTGTGTAAAATAATTAGATGTAAATTAGGATAATTAAAGGTCATAGTTACAGTAAATAATAAGTTATGAAAATCTTACTTGCTAAAGAGGTGGAGGGCTACGCAGATCCCAACAAACATGACTGCTAATACTACCATAATTATAATCATTTTAGGATCAACATGCTGTGTTTTCACCTTAGGAGGTCTTGCTGAATATTCTTCATCAGTTTTATCGATAGCATCTAAAAAGCATAAAAAAGGTTTAAAATCTTTATATATTCATTCTATTTTTTCAATTGATGATTGAGAAAAGAATATGATTTCCTAAAAGTTTGGTTATTCTGAAACATTGACAAACAACAAAGACAAAAAAAGTAAACATTTATGACACACTTATGTTAACTCTAGATTCATAAACATGCAGGGGAAATATATTGGAAATTCCTTTAGGATGGTATTTAAAAATTCATCTTTCTATCTCTTTCACTTTAAAGTTACAAATATTTATTGATTTTGGGAGATTTGTGAGACGAATATTGATGAATCTAGGGTTGAAGTGCGTTGATATTTCCCCTTTTTTAACTCCTTTAATTCAATGAAGGAAAAAAAGACTGAAATTCTTCATGCCTGGAAAAATATATATGGGCGATCACAAAGCTTGAATACGCCATCAGTGGAGAAGATCAGTTCCATGCTATGGTCCTTCTCCCTTTATTCTCCTCTTCTTTTCAGTTGTATAGGAATGCACTAGGACATTTTTCTTTTCTTAATATTTTTCGTTTTCAATTAATATACAAAGATATTTTTAAAAATTTCCATGATGCTTTCTTTTAGAACTATGTTTAATGTAGTTTTCAGTTCCATATAGTTCTCCAACTTAAAAGATTTTAATCTATATGAAAGTCAAGACAGAAACTAACGTACTTCCTTCTTCTATGACTCTCCGCACGCTAACGGTGAAAGCATGTAAAGTGTTGCCATAGGTTGAGAGTTCTACTCTACGCCACCTTGTAGCCCATTTTGATCACCAATATTGATGATAAATGCTTCTCTATAAATATTTTTCCTTATCAATATTTTTTAATCACGACTGCATTAAGCGTCTTTACCAAAGGATATAAGCAGGGTGGCATAATGTAAACCTGTCCTCCAAAGTTTGGAGCGGTCCCTATATATAAAGGAAAAAGGGTTTTCACCTTCCCTTCCTCCTGTCACGTTACTTCTAATGCGCATGCGCTAGATTTTACTACATATGATGCTCTGCTATATCTGAGTATGTTGTTCGCCCTGTAAGTTGTTTTTGTTGAGTAGTACACTGCACCGAGTAGTTTTCCACGTTAGTTATATATTCGAAGAACCGGACTTCTCTCTATATCCTTTAACTCTACCTCCCTCCAAATGTGAAAAACGAGAAAACTTAGCAATAATTTATTTATATTTTCAAGGATCATAAAAAAGTGTAAAAATGTGATTAGTTTAGAATCAGGCATTTAATCTTTTCTATTTAAATAATTTAAATTATTTTATAATTTCTTAAATTATTGTTGTTTTTTAATAAACCCGATCTAAAATAAACTGTGTTTTACTTTAAACATTAAAACTTAATCCATCAAGCGTTCACATGCAATTTAAAAGGTGTAATTTAAATCTTGACAGTTAAAATTGAATAATATTACTCCAGAACTTTCGCATTTTTACATCATACCAGAAATATTTTCACTTCCGAAGACACCAAAGCCGGCATTTGGAGAGCTTTGATTATCAAGAAACGCCAAATAGAATATCGCGTATAGTTTGTCATGTTGTATGTCATGATGTATTTCTAACTTTTTTGCTTCCGTTTTAAAATCATCCACAATGTGATGGGATGATACAGAGCGCAAAATTGTTATCCTGTTAATTGGTTCCCTGGGATTTGAATTCTGCTAATGACTGAGTTTCAAATATTTTTTTCTATTTTTCTCCTACTCTAAACGTTACGCTTAATACCGTAATGACATTAAAAAGTATTATAGCAGCATGAGTACCGATACTTTGTACCTAAATTTTCAGAAATTTTCTTTCGCAGTGTGTGAGGGGTTACTATAATATACCTTATTACATTAGAATTTTTGACAGAAATTTTACATTTATATAAATAAAACATTATATAAATTATATAAATAAACGGTATCAACATTTATATAAATAAAAAATAAAAATATATGTCTTACTGCTTAAGTATTTTGAGATTTTCTTTTACGAAAACATCTAAACAAAAATATTGCCTTATGCGTCAGAACTTTCTTCTACTATCATTTTCTCACGGAAAAAAAAATTCTGGTAAAATTTCCTTATTGTACGGTTATGACATTTATGGGAAAAAATCCATAATTTTGGTAATAAAAACCAAAATATACGGTACTTGAAAATTCATTTGTTAATTTTTCTGTTCATATGGTAATGTTAGATTTACCGTAAATTCTGTATTTCGAAATTATAGTTCTTATTACCTCATATTTAGCGAAGGAAAAAAACAAACGAACTGTAAAGTAAATTTAAGCGAATAATTAGTTTTTATGCTACGCTCTAAGATATCATGATAAAATTATCAAATTTCACCACTTTCACCAAATTTCATCACATAATATAAAATCATACTTTATTGCTTATTTTTACCAAAGTAATTACCAAAACGCTTCGGTAAAAATTACGAGCTTTTTGGTGTTCCAGCCGCACCAGAAACGTGGATAAATTTTACCATCTAATAGTAGTTTTGACCATATTTTTTTCTCAGTGTATAGTGCGCCAAAAAGAAGAAGAAAAAAAAAAGGAAAGAAAAAAGAAAAAAACAGATCACCCTGAATAACATTTCAACTTATGATAGGATCTTCATGTTCTAGGACCCAATCTTAAGGGTTCGAGGGAGGGACCTCAAATATGCTAAATCATAAGTGCAGACGGTATTTTAAGGTACGAAATCGGACACAAAAACGTACTTTTTCTGAATAAACATGTTTTTTTATCGACGGATTCGGATGTCTGACCCCCAAAATATCGGGGGTAGCTGCAATCTGGGGACTATGGTCCCAGTAATTTGGTCAGGAGATAAAAATTAAGATAAAAATTACCTTTGGATAAACGATTTTTACAACTGTGTGTGAAAATTATTCAATTCTCTTAAAAAGTCTCGATATATGGCGAAATACGCAACCAATAAAGTAAAATTAACATTAAGGAAACTAAATTTTGGATCGCTCTCCAGACCGAAATATGGGAATCATATTTCCTAGATTCTCTATTTTTTAGGGGTCAGAAATTTGAATCTGTTAAGAAAAAGGTATATTTATTCAGAGAAAGTAAGTTTTTGTGTCTGATTTCGTAATTAAAAGTATCATTTGCTCCAATTAATTAGCATATTTGAGGTCACCCCCTCGTGCCATTAAGTTTGAGTCCTAGAACGTAAAAATCCGATTATTAGATCAAAAGTTATTCAGGATGATCCGTTTTTTTTGGCTCACTGCACATTGAATAAAAGTTACACTTTTCACACTTCCCCATTCCTTTTCTATTTAAGCCCCTTTTTATTGCCTTTGTTGGTTAAAAGAGAACGTTGATTATTTTAGTGTACAAGCAAAAATGTCATTCAATTTGTGTTACTTTACTAAATCAGAAACTATTATGTTAATTTTAAGGTAAATTTGCTTAAGTGTAAGTAAAATTTAACTTTATTATGTTTTAATAACGAATTTTTTCATTAGTCGTGGTTAAATATTCGTTAAAAAGGTTTCACAAATTGGATTTTTTGTTGATAGTCTTTCGAAATGCGAAGTATGATATTTCCAAATAAAAAAAATAATAAAATTTGAACTATACTCGCTTTTGGTGTTACTGTGCATTTTATTTATTTATTTAAAAATTTAGGCAATAGAGAAAAAACAACAAATTTAAAATAGCTTATTCTTAAAATTTCTCTTATTTGTAACTTACTCCTGACGCAATAACTATATGTTGCATATTATTTTATACATTATAGCTATTACTTTAAGTGTTTCTGTTCAATTATTAAAAAAAATATTATTGATAGAGAAACATTTTTAAAGATAAACTAATCAGAAATTATATTAAAAGCTGCAAAGCTTTACTATTCGAGGATTTAATCCACTCCGTGAACAACGCTTGTTAGTTTTCATTAATTAGGAATAACAAAAAGTACAGCGAAGTGGAAAACTCAATCCCCAAGCACACAATATAGCTTCCTCTAATTAATTAATGAAATAAAATATGTTGAAACTCAAGATTTTAACTAAAAGATTAATTTCGAGTTTACCATTAACGCGGAAAGGAAATAATGATTTAGTTTGAAAGAAAATTTTCTTTACTTGCTAGAAATTAAATATCTTACAATTAGTTTTTAAAACATAATGAGTAATGGCATTAAATGAATAGTGAGAATGGATAACGAGGGATTAAATGAATAATTTTACGGTGATTGAAAAATTAAAAGATATTGATAAATCTCCCCTTTCATCTTTGGAGAATTGAGGTAAGGGTATGGTTTCGAATTGTTTGAACCTACTTAGCCAAATTCTAAACGTTAGAAAAGAAATAATGAATGGAAGAAGAATTTAAGTAAAACAAAATAATCAATTGAAATATTTTAGTTTTATTCTTTAACACGGGATTTGGGTTAACGTGGTTTTAATTTAAAAACGTACGGTAAACAAAATTTTCGTAAAATTTATAAATTACAATGTTTTTTTTGTTGTAATTAGTAAATATTACTAACAAAACACCAGAACATAAATGCCTTTTTACTGTTAAAATACATAATTTTCAATGACAAATATAATTATTTGAAAAACTAAACTCACAGTAAAATAACACTGGAGAATGTTTTGTTTTGTTTTGTTTACATGAGATTTTTTTTAAACAGAGCGTAGATTCTTTTGCATCGCTAATTTCAAATCTGTAATTGGTTTCTCTTTTCATGCTAGTTTTTCTTTTAAATGATATTTTGCTTCTATTTTTTTCGAAATCAACAATTTTAAAAACTTTACATATAACAGGGAGCCACGGAGGGATCGATCTAGACAAATTCCGGCCTAAGGCCCACCGAATTCTCTGGACCCCTTACAAAATATTTTGAAATAAATTACTGAAGTTTACATTATATTTTGAGTAATTAGTCCTAACAATAGAAAAGAATCTATTGAACTGCATAATTCAAGATAAACATTCTAAGAAATTTTGAAAGAGGACA